CTGTCAGAAATAGGAAGACTATTTATGACAGTTCTGGGACTGTCCTTCCATACAGCGGTTGAAACATTGTATCTATTTTTTTCCATAAAATGAATTCTGCAAATACACTTAGAGGAGCGCTGCAGATACAAGAAAGCCGCCGGCTTGGAATTAATCTTATTTTCATCCTACTTATCCTAAGAAGGTTCTTCATCCTCATCCTCATAAGAAAAAAGAAGAAGAGGATGAGGATGAAAATAAGAATAATTCCAAGCCGGCAAAAAGTGTATCTGCAGCGCTCCTCTAAGTGTGTATCTGCAGAATGTCATTTATTTGTTTCCAAAAAAAGATACAATGTTTTCAACCGCTGTATGGAGTGAATGTCCCAGAACTGTCATAAAAGTCTATTTCTGACAGTTCTGGGACATTCACTCCATACAGCTGTTTCAACCGCTGTATGGAGAAGGGAATGTCATAGAACTGTCAGAAATAGACTATTAATGACAGTTGAAGGACTGGACTTTCCTTCCATATAGGAGCGGTTGAAACATTGTATGTATTTGTTTCCATAAATGGATCCATTTGGATGGAAACAAATAAGATACAATGTTTCAAAAGGCTGTATGGAAGGACAGTCCCAGAAACTGTCATTAATAGTCTATTTCTGACAGTTCTATGACATTCCCTCCATACAGCGAAGTTGAAAACAGCTGTATGGAGTGATGTCCCAGAAGAGTCAGAAATAGACTATGTTGGATGACAGTTCTGGGACTGTCCTTCCATCTACAGCGGTTGAAACATTGTATGTATTTGTTTCCATAATGGATCCATTTATGGAAACAAATACATACAATGTTTTCAACCGCTGTATGGAAAATGGACAGTCCCAGAACTGTCATTAATAGTCTATTTCCTGACAGTTCCATGACATTCCCTCCATACAGCGGTTTTTGAAAAACTGTAGCTGTATGGAGTGATTGTCCCAGGAACTGTCAGAAATAGTCTATTTCTGACAGTTCTGGGACATTCAAAATACAGCTGTTGAGTTTCAACCGCTGTATGGAGGGAGATGTCATGAACTGTCAGAAATAGACTATTAATGACAGTTCTGGAGACTGTCCTTCCATACAGCGGTTGAAACATTGTATGTATTTGTTTCCATAAATGGATCCATTTATGGAAACAAATACATAGTCAATGTTTCAAAGCTGTATGGAAGGACAGTCCCAGAACTGTCATGTAATAGTTCTATTTCTGACAGTTCTCTATGGAAGTCATTCCCTCCATGAACAGCGGTTGTTTGAAACAGAGTGTATGAAGAAGTGAAATGTCCAACTGTCAGAGAATGATAGAGACTATTTATGACAGTTCTGGGAAGGATTGTCCTTGATACAGCGGGTTGAAACATTGTATTATTTTTTTCCATAAATGAATTTTTTATGAACTGCTTTGAATACAATTAGAGTAAGAGCGCTGCAGTTCTAAGACTTTTTGCCGGCTTGGAGGGAAGTTTTGGGAAGATTCTTCCTTCTTCATCCTCATCCTCATAAGAAGAAAAGAAGTAGTAGGATGTCAAAAAGAAGGAATTCCAAGCCGGCAAAAAGTTATCTGCAGCGCTCCTCTAGAGTGTATCTGCAGAATGTCATTTATGGAAAAAAATAGATACAATGTTTCAACCGCTGTATGGAAGTGAATGTCCCAGAACTGTCATAAATAGTCTATTTCTGACAGTTCTGGGACATTCACTCCATACAGCTGTTTCAACCGCTGTATGGAGGGAATGTCATGAAGAAATTGTCAGAACTAGTCAGAAAAGAGAGACTATTTATGACAGTTCTGGGAGACTGTCCCTTCCATACAGCGGTTTGAAACATTGTATGTATTTTGTTTCCATAAATGGATCCATTTATGGAAACAAATACATACAATGTTTCAACCGCTGTATGGAAGGAGGAAGTTCCCAGAACTGTCATTAGAAATAGTCTATTTCTGACAGTTCTGACATTCCCTCATACAGCGCTCCGGTTACTGATGAGAAGCTGTATTTCAACGCTGTATGGAGGGAATGTCCCAGAACTGTCAGAAATAGTCTATTTCTGACAGTTCTGGGAATTCACTCCATACAGCTGTTTCAACCGCTGTATGGAGGGAATGTCATGGAAACTGTCAGAAATAGGACTATTAATGACAGTTCTGGGACTGTCCTTCCATACAGCGGTTGAAACATTGTATGTGTATTTGTTTCCATAAAATGGATCCATTTTATGGAAACAAAATACATACAATGTTTCAACGCTCCGCTGGTATGGAAGTTCTGGGACTGTCCTTCCATTTCTGCAGCGGTTGAAACATTGTAATGTATTTGTTTCCATAAATGGATCCATTCTATAGGAAACAAAATACATACAATGTTTCAAAACCGCTGTATGGAAGGACAGTCCCTGAACTGTCATTAAATAGTCTATTTCTGACTAGTTCTATGACATTCCCTCCATACAGCGGTTTTGAAACAACGCTGTCTATGGTAGGGAATGTCCCAGAACTGTCAGAAAATAGACTATTTATGACAGTTCTGGGACTGTCCTTCCATACAGCGGTTGAAACATTGTATCTATCTATTTTTTTCCATAAATGGACATTCTGGAAAATACACCTATTAGAGGAGCTGTAGATACTTGACTTTTTGCCGGCTTGGAATTAATCTTATTTTCATATCCTACTTTTCTTCTTATCCTCATAGCCTCATAAGAAGAATAAAGAAGAAGAAGTAGGATTGAAAAATAAGAATAATTCCAAGCCGGCAAAAAGTGTATCTGCAGCCTCCTCTAAGTGTATTCTGCAGAATGTCATTTATGGAAAAAAAATATATACAATGTTTCAAACCGCTGTATGGAGTGAATGTCCCAGAACTGTCATAAATAGTCTATTTCTGACAGTTCTGGGACATTCACTCCATACAGCTGTTTCAAAAACCGCTGTATGTGACCTAGGGAATGTCATAGAACTGTCAGAAATAGACTATTAAAATGACAGTTCTGGGACTGTCCTTCCATACAGCGTTGAAACATTGTATCTATATTTGTTTCCATAAATGGATCCATTTATGGAAACAAAATAGATACAATGTTTCAACCGCTGTATGGAAGGACAGTCCCAGAACTGTCATTAATAGTCTATTTCTGACAGTTCTATGACATTCCCTCCATACAGCGGTTTCAAAACAGCTGTATGGAGTGAATGTCCCAGAACTGTCAGAAATAGACTAAAGAAGAAGTAGGATGAAAATAAGATTAATTCCAAGCCGGCAAAAAGTGTATGTGTCCTCTAAGTGTATCTGCAGAGCTCCTCTAAGTGTATCTGCAGAATAGAGAGAGCTCTGCACATACACTTTTTGCCGGCTTGCAATTATTCTTATTTTCAGATTAATTCCAAACAGGCAAAAAGTGTATGTGCAGAGCTCCTCTAAGTGTATCTGCAGAATAGAGGAACTCTGCACATACACTTTTTGCCGGCTTGGAAATTATTCTTATTTTCATCCTACTGCTTCTTTTTCTTCTTCTCATCCTCATCCTCAGAAGAAGAGGATGAGGATGAGGATGAAGAAGAAGAAGAAGAAGAAGAAGTAGGATGAAAAGAAGAATAATTTCCAAGCCGGCAAAAAAGTGTATGTGCAGAGTTCCTCTATTTCTGACAGTTCTCTCACAGCTTCTTCACATGTACAGCGGTTTGAAACATCTGTATCCTAAATGGAAACTAATAGATACAAATTGTATCTATTAGTTTCCATTTAGGATACAGATGTTTCAACCGCTGTACATGTGAGCCGGCTTGGAATTATTCTTCTTTTCATCCTACTTCTTCTTCTTCTTCTTCATCCTCATCCTCTTCTTCTGAGGATGAAGATGAAGAAGAAGAAGAAGTAGGATGAAAAGAAGAATAATTCCAAGCCGGCAAAAAGTGTATGTGCAGAGTTCCTCTATTTCTGACAGTTCTCCTCACAGCTTCTTCACATGAACAGTGGTTGAAACATCTGTATCCTAAATGTAAACTAATAGATACAATGTTTTCAACCGCTAAACATGTGTTCCTTCTGTCAGAGAACTGTCAGAAATAGCGGAGCTCACTGCAGGGACACTTTTGCCGGCTGATCGGGAAATGTTCGATTCGCGCACCCGAAGTAGGCAAAATTTCGGTTTCGCCGCGAATCGAATATTTCCTGAAATTCGACTCGAATTCCGGTTCGCCTGGTTCGATTCGCTCATCTCTAATTTTGGTTCTGCAGGATATAAACGCCAGCGATCTTGGTGTGATCAGATGCTTTAAGGGCTTATTGTTACACCGATGTCCTGGGCCAGAAATGTGGAAACAATTAAACATTGCAAGAGAGATGGGAATATTACAAATATCTCTTTCCTAAAACAGCTGGGAATATTCTAGTGTTGTGTAATCCTGCTGAGCTCAGTCTGCAGTGTGAGGAGAAGAGAAGCCTGAGCTCTGAGGGATCGCTCTACTTCTCCAAGGGATCTCTCTACTTCTCCAAGGGATCACTCTACTTCACCAAGGGATCACTCTACTTCACCGAGGGATCTCTCTACTTCACCGAGGGATCTCTCTGCCTGTCTGAGGGATTTCTCTACATGTCTGAGGTGACTGGACTTCTCCATCTCTGAGGTGACTCTGAACGTCTCTGAGGTGACTCTGTACTCTGAAGTGACTCTGTACTCTAAAGTGACTGTACTTCTCTGAGGGATCTCTCTACTTCTCTGAGGTGACTGGACTTCTCCATTCTGAGGTGACTCTGTACTCTGAGGTGACTGGACTTCTCCATTGTGAGGTGCCTCTGTAGTTCTCTGCGGTGACTCCGTACTCTGAGGTGACTCTTGTACTTCGCACTCTCACCCGGAGGATCAGGCAGCATGCCAATCACCAGCGACGGTCAGGTTCTCAGGCTCCTCCCCCTCCTCTTCTTCTTCTCTCTCCAGTCCAATCAGCAGTGTGTGGGATCAGAGCCTGAGGAGCCGATGGGTGTGCGGGGCCCCACTGTTGTGGTCATAGGAGCGGGCATTGCCGGGATCGGAGCCGCCGAGAAGCTCTATCAGAATGGATTCCGTCACATTCGGATCCTGGAGGCCACCGGGAGGAGCGGAGGACGGATACGGACACAGAGTTTTGGTAATTCGGGTGACACAGTGGTAGAATGTGAATGTGGAGGAGGGAGACTTCCTCACTGAGGAGGAAGCTTTCCTCACAGCACTGGGTGTCCATTAGGGGCAACAGTGAACAGTCAACTGAGATTTCCTGTAAGGACAGGGATCTGTATCTGTGAGATTATTATAGGGGGCGGGATTTATCACAACTGGAGCAGCTGTGCATGACAACCAGTCAGCTTCTTCAGTTAACCTCTCCATGATGAGGGTAAAACAAATCCTAACACGTGAGCCGACTTCTGCAGCTGTGACATGTCATGGTAGAACTGTACAGATCATCACAGCTACTGGTGTCTCCAGGTGGAGTATAACGCGTTTGTTTTGGGAACAATTGGGCTTCCATCTGGTGGTAAGCCCTGGTTCAAGCTGATATGACTTGTCATGCAATTTGACAGCTTTAAATCACATGACAACCCGCATCCTATTGTTTGCAATGAAACGGCTCAAATTGGTGCGACTCCGACTTTGTTGGAGTTTCACCGATTTTGAAAAAAGTCTCCTGCACTACTTTTTTGAAATTTCAGGTGCGACTTGCATAGACAACTGTGCACAAAGCCGTACAGATGTCTTCAAAGTCGTAGCTGAAATCGCACGGACAGGCAACTCTGAAATTGTGCAACTTCACTTGAAGTCACATGATTTCAAAGTTCTTTCTTTCTGTGAGCAGACAGGCTCTTTATTGCATAGGAGACATGCAGTGTCCTTTCTACAGTAAAAAAGAGCTGTGAGCCTGAACAAGCAAAGCTCAGTTTACATTCCATTACAGATACTGTGTGCTAGGATGAATGAACTCGTACATGTGCAGGAATTACATCATTCTGCGCTGGCCAGTGAAAATGTCTGCAGCCCCCCACCTGATGAAGCCAGATAGAAGATGCCAGCAAGGGACCTTCAACCTTTGAGGGAGAGGTAAGTATTGGGAACTTTAATTCCACTTTAAAATGATATTCCACTTTCATTTTTTCTTTAAAATAACAAACATATTATACTTACCTGCGCTGTGCAATGGTTTTGAAAGAGCAGCACCAATTCTTCTATTCTGGGGTCCCCTACCAGTGCCAGTTTTTTCTGGCCCCACCCCCGCCAAATGTTTGTGTGTGCTTACTTCTGAGCCCTGCTCTGTGTGTCCATAAGACATACAGAACGGGGCTCGGTCTCACCCCCCACTCCTTATCATTGGCTTTGGTTGACAGCAGCCATTGGCTCCTGCTGCTTTATTATCTGTGCCAATAAGAAGTGAGAGAGACTCAGCTTCCATTCATGTCACCAGATCAGGATCATGCTCAGGTATGTGTTTAGGGGGGCTGTGGGGGAAAATGCATGCAGAAAGTTTTTTTTGTTACTGCGTAAAATGCAGTAAGGTAAAAAACCTTCAGCCATTACAAACACTTTAAGATTTGAAATTGAAAGATAGAAGCTAATTGGTTGCCATACACAACTGCTCTCAGATTCCGGTACCTTCCCTCTGTATCTTAAATTATTATTATTATACAGGATTTATATAGCGCCAACAGTTTGCTCAGCGCTTTACAATATAAAGGGAGACAATACAGCAACGATACAGTTCAATACAAGAGGGTTAGGAGGGCCCTGCTCCTGGAAGCTTGCAATCTAAAAGGGAGGGGCTAGTAGTACAAAAGGTAATAACTGTGGAGGATGAACTGATAGGAGAAATAGAAAATTCAGTTATTAGCTGAAGGCCGAAATGAAAAAAAGCACCAATACAGGTGCAGAAAAAACCCGCCCCTAAAAGCCGCCTGTCCGCTGTCGCCTGCCCTCCGGCCGCCACTCGATAGTTTTAGTCTTACCTGAGAAACCATCGATCCCAGCGTTGGGCATAGAGATGAAAGAAGGAAAGATGGCCCTTGGAGAACCGGAGCGATGTCACTTACGGTTCCAGCTATTTTTTTTTATTAAAGCAATAGATCAATGCTTTTTTTTTATCTAATGCTTTACATTGCAGAGGAGAAATGTGGGGTCTTATTGACCCCATATGTCTCCATAAAGAGGACCTGTCACTAATTATTTCTATCACAGCGGATGCATGCATTTCTTGTGATAAGAATAAAAGTGATTACAATTTTTTTAAAAGCAACAGTGCAAAAAAAATATTTTTTTTTAAAAAAGTTTAAAGTGCCCCCGTCCCCCCGTGCTCGCACATAGTGGTGAACACATACGTAGGCCATGCCCACATATGTAAATGGTGTTCAAACCACACACATGAGGTATCAACATGAACGTCGGAGCAAGAGCAATAATTCTCGCACTAGACCTCCTCTGTAACTTTACACTGCTAACCTGTAGAAATTTTTAAAGCATCACTCATGGAGATTTTTAAGCACCGCAGTTTCACGCCATTCCATGAGCGTTCGCAATTTTAAGTTGTGACATGTTGGGTATCTATTTACTTGCTGTAACATCCTCTTACATATTTTACAAAACAATTGGGGTATATATTGTTTTTTTTTAATCAAAGTGTATTTTTTTCCAAAAAATATATATATTCATTTTTAAAAACTGCGCATTCCGCTTTCGGCCAAGTGCATTTTGAATTTTCGGTTTCGGCACCTGAATTCTCATTTCAATGCACCACTACTACTTGGGGAGAACAAATAACAGGAATGACACAGAGTGTGCAGAGGGAACACAGATTAGGGAAGGAGGAAAATAAAACCAGGAAAGGTGTCCAGACAAACTCTTCTGCCAGGGAGATACAAAAGAGGTAAACTTACAAGGGTAGTGGCTTGTCTTATCTCCCTGATATTCTCTCCTGTCTGCTGGCAGAGCTGTGAACTTTAGCACTGTGCTTCTGTCAGCCTTCCCCTCTAGCTGAGCCAAGACATACAATCAAGGCTTGAATTGCACACATTATATTTAGGCCCCATGTACACGGGACACTACTGAACATGGAAACTGACTGCTGCAAAACGTAGGTTAAAAAATGTCTGTTTAGCATCGTTTGCATAACGCGTTTATGTGCGTTTGCGTTTAGAAGTGTTTTTTAAGATAAGCACAGGAGAACCTCCCAAATGCCCAGAATGCGAGTGGTAAATCATTAACTATTTCAGACTGTTTCAGAGAAATACAGACAGTAGAAGCAGAGACCACAGCATGTGTTGATATTAGCTTACAGTTGTGTCCAAAATTATTCAACCCCCACTGAAATTGAGTGTTTTGGCCAGTTTGACATTGCTTTTGATCATTCAGTCATCTTGCTTACATTTACATTAAAGAGGCACTTGTAGGTCAGACAAATATAACATAACAGTTATAATGAAATAACCACAAATGTCTTTTCTGTGCTCACAGCATTATCAGTTTTATTCAACCCCCAAGTGACATTCAATCTTAGTACTTAGTACAGCATCCTTTTACAGTTATAACAGCTTTTAAACGTGAAGCATAGCTTGACACAAGTGTCTTGCAGCGATCTACGGGTATCTTCGCCCATTCTTCATGGGCAAAGGCCTCCAGTTCAGTCACATTCTTAGGCTTGCGCACTGCAACTGCTTTCTTTAAGTCCCACCAGAGGTTCTCAATCGGATTTAAGTCTGGTGACTGCGATGGCCACTCCAAAATGTTCCAGCCTTTCCTCTGCAACCATGCTCTAGTGGACTTGGAGGTATGCTTGGGATCATTGTCCTGTTGAAAGGTCCAACGTCTCCCAAGCCTCAGGTGTGTGACGGACTGCATCACGTTTCCATCCAATATCTCCTGGTACTGAAGAGAATTCATGGTACCTTGCACACGCTGAAGCTTCCCTGTACCTGCAGAAGCAAAACAGCCCCAAAGCATGATTGACCCTCCACCATGCTTCACAGTAGGCAAGGTGTTCTTTTCATCATAGGCCTTGTTCTTCCTCCTCCAAACATAGCGTTGATCCATGGGCCCAAACAGTTCTAATTTTGTTTCATCAGTCCACAGAACACTATCCCACAACTTTTTGTGGTTTGTCCACATGGCTTTTGGCATACTGCAGTCGACTCTTCTTATTCTTTGGAGACAGCAAGGGGGTACGCCTGGGAGTTCTGGCACGGAGGCCTTCATTACGCAGTGTGCGTCTTATTGTCTGGGCTGAAACTTCTGTACCCACATCTGACAAATCTTTTCTCAGTTCCTCAGCAGTCACACGGGGACTTCTCTCCACTACGCTTCAGGTAGCGCACAGCAGCAGTCGAAAGTCAGCATCTTCTTTCTGCCACGACCAGGGTAGCGTTTCAACAGTGCCCTTTGCCTTGAATTTGCGAATGATGCTTCCTAAGGTGTCTCTTGGTATGTTTAACATCTTTGCAATCTTCTTATAGCCATTGCCCTTCCTGTGAAGAGAAATCACCTCTTCTCTTGTCTTCCTGGACCATTCTCTTGCCTTCACCATGTTTGTAACCACACCAGTAAATGTCTAGAAGGAGCTGAGTATCACAGTCATTTTAAAGCTGCCTAATTGGTGCTTATTATGCTTGATTGCTGCTCGGTGACATCCACAGGTGTTTTCAATACCTGATGGAAAGCACCTGTATGAACCTCTGTTCTTCAGAGTGGTAGTCTTTAAGGGGTTGAATAATTGTGGCAATGAAGAAACCACATAAGAACCATTTACTACTGTATTACATAAACAATTGATGTCATCATTTTAGTTGCATTTGGGTAGTTACAACGTCCTTGTAGGATTTGATTCTGAATACAATTCCAAATGTACACTATAGTCCCTAAACCCCTTTACAGCATTGGGGGTTGAATAATTTTGGACACAACTGTAGGTGTGAGTTGCTCATTAACATTTCTTTTGTTTCCAAGGGTGGGAAAGGTGTTTGGTGAAGTGAGTCATTAAGGCCACCTGGCAGGGGGTCTTCATGAGGAATTTGAGGTGTGAATGGGTCATTTTGTTTCCAAGGGTGGGAGAGGTCTGAGGTATGAAGTGGTCATTAAAATGTGTGGCAAGCTTGGTAGGAACATCCTGTTTTGTAC